CATTGAATTTTTCTACATAATCATGTTATCTGTAAGTAGGACAGTTTTATTTCCTATCTATAGGCCTTTTATTGCCTTTCTTTCCCCTACTGCATACACAAGAATTTAAGGATTATGTCAAGAATAGTGAGAGGATAAATTCTTGCTTCTTGATCTTCAAGGTAGGATTTACTATTACACCCTTAAGTATAATATTAGCTGTAATTTTTTTGTAGATACTTTATCAATTTGAAGACGTTTCCCTCTATTCCTGTTTTTCTGAGTTTTTATCATGAATCAGAGTTGAATTTGGTCAAATGTTTGTTCTATATCAGTTGATATGATTGTGTTGATTTTTTGTTCCTTCTTTAGTTTGTTGAAATGGTAGATTACCTTGATTGATTTTCAAATATTGAACCAGCATTGAATCCCTGGAGTAAACCCCACTTGGTCACGTAAAATTCTTTTTATATAATATTGAATTCTCCTTGTTAATGCTTTTTAAGGATTTTTTGTGTCTATATTCATAATGTATAGTAGACTGTGTATTTTTTTCTTTTATACCGTGTCTCCAGCATCAAGGTAATACTAGTATTCTGTTTTCTGGAAGAGATTGTGTTCTTTAAATATTTGGCAAAATTCTCAAATGAAATTATCTGACCCTGGAGGTTTCTTTTTGGGGAATATGTTACAGATTATAGGTTAAATTTCCTTAATAGTTTTTTGGCCATTCACATTACTTTATATTGGGTGTGTTGTGGTAGTTTTGTGATTCAAGTAAGTTGTTCATCTAAGTTGTCAAATTTATGCGTAGAATTGTTTGTAGTATTCCCTTATCCTTTTGATGTCTGCAAAGTAGTGATATCTGCTATTTCCTATGGGTATTGGTAATCTGTGTCTTTTGGGTTTTTGGTGGTGGTGGTGGTGGTGGTGGTGGTCTTTCTAGAAGTTTGTCGATTTTATTGATCTTCCCAAAGAAGCAGCTCTTAATTTCAGTGATTTTTCCTATCTTTTTTTTTAAGTTTTAAGTTTCACTGATTTCTGTTCTTACTTTGATTTGTTCTTTCTTCTGTTCGTTTTCCATTATTTTCTTTTCTAGGTCTTGTTTTGGGAAGTTAGATTAATAATTTGAGAATTTTCCTCTTTCCTAATATATGCACTTAGTGCTATAAATTTCCCTTTCATCCCTGCTTTATCTGCCTCCTACAAATTTTGATACATTGTTTTTTAAATTTTCTTTTCTTTTTCTTTTTTTTTATTTGACAGAGAGAGAGCACAAGCAGGCAGAGCAGCAGGCAGAGGGAGAGTGAGAAGCAGGCTCTCTGCCGAGCAGGGAGCCTCATGTGGGGCTCGATCCCAGGACCCTGGGATCATGACCTGAGCCGAAGGCAGACGCTTAACCAACTGAGCCACCCAGGCGCCCCTGTTTTTTAAATTTTCATTCAGTTTTATTTTCATTCATTTCAATGTCTTTTTTCTATGAATAATTTTTAATTTTTATTTACTTAGAAAAATTAAATAACCAAAGCAGTATTTTAAAATTGCATATGGTTCACTTATTTATCAATAGAGAGTATTCTTTCTGATGAAAATGCCATTTTCACTAACATCTCATTTTTAAAATTCAGGTAAGTCTCTTTGGTTATCATTCACTAAAATACATTTTGGTTTTTACCATATACCAATTTATATATGTAGTATTTATTTCCAAAATTAGGTTCCCAAACCATAATCAGCTCAACATGTTTTTGAGACTTCCTCTTTGACCCATGGATTATTTAGAAGTGTGGTTTTTTTGTTTGTTTGTTTGTTTGGTTGGGTTTTTTTTTAAAGATTTTTATTTATTTATTTGACAGAGAGAGAGAGACACACAGCGAGAGAGGGAACACAAGCAGAGAGAATGGGAGAGGGAGAAGCAGGCTTCCCGCTGAGCAGGGAGCCCGATGAGGGGCCGATCCCAGGACCGTGGGATCACGACCTGAGCCGAAGGCAGATGCTTAACAACTGAGCCACCCAGGTGCCCTAGAAGTGTGTTTTTAAGACAGCCACTCCTGGTTTTCTTTGATTAATGTTTGCATGATATATCCTTTTCTATTCTATTACTTTCAACTTGCCTATATCTTTATATCTGAAGTGCGTTTCTTGGCAACAGCATATTTTTTGTTTTAAAGATTTTATTTATTTATTTGACAGAGAGAGACATAGTGAGAGAGGGAGCACAAGCAGGGGGAGTGGGAGAGGGAGAGGGAGAAGCAGACTCCCTGCAGAGCAGAAAGCCCGATGCGGGGCTCGATCCCAGGACCCTGGGATCATGACCTGAGCCGAAGGCAGACGCTTAACCGTCTGAGCCACCCAGGCGCCCCAACAGCATATTTTTTAAAATGTTTTAATTGTGGCAAAATATACTTAATGTAAAATTTACCAGTTTAACAATTTTTAAGTGTACAATTCAATGGCATTAAGTACATTCACACTGTTTTGCAAACATCACCACTATCCATCTCCAATATTTCATCATCCCTAACTGAAACTTGGTATCCATCAAACATTAATTCCTTATTACCACTTCCTCCCAGCCAGTGGTAACTACTATTTTGCTTTCTGTCTCTATGAACTTGACTATTCCAGGTACCTCATATCATGGAATCATGTATTTGTCCATTTGTGTCTGGCTTCTTTCACCTAGCGTAGTATCTTCAAGCTTCATCCATGTTGCATGTGTCAGAACTTAATTCCTACTAAAGGCCAAATAACATGTCCATTGTATGTATATACCACATTTTATTTTTCCATTCATCCAATAATGGACATTTGGGTTGCTTCTACCTAATTTTAGCTATTGTGAATAATGCTGCCATGAACATTCACATACAAGTATCTGTTCTAGTCCCTACTTTAAATTCGTCATTGTTGTACTGTATGATAATTATATATTTAATTTTTTAAAGGAACTGTCATAATGTTTTCTACAGCAGCTTCACCACAAGGGTTTCTCCACATCCTTGCCATTATTTATTTTTTTTTTTTTTAATTATAGCCATCTCAGTGATTGTAAAGTGGTATCTCATTGTGGTTTTGATTTGCATTTTCCTAATGACTAATGTTGGTTCCCTTTATTCTTGAATGATTTTTATATATATGTTTCTGTTTGGGTTTTTTTGGTTTTTTTGCTGGATATAGGACTTGGAATTTGGAATTCTTTCTTTCAGTGCTTTAAAATGTACCGCTTCATGGGCGCCTGGGTGGCTCAGTTGGTTAAGCGACTGCCTTCGGCTCAGGTCATGATCCTGGAGTCCCGGGATCGAGTCCCGCATCGGGCTCCCTGCTCAGCAGGGGGTCTGCTTCTCCCTCTGCCCTCTTCCCTCTCGTGCTCTCTCTCATTCTCTCTCAAATAAATAAATAAAATCTTTAAAAAAAAATAAAATGTACCGCTTCTTCTGGCCTCTATGGTTTCTTATGAGAAGTCTGCTTTTGTTTGAATTTCCCCCTCCAGATTTAAGGTGGTGTTTCTCTTACTTTCAAGATTTTTATTTTGCCCTTAGTTTTTAGAAGTTTGACTATGATATGACATGATATTGATTGGGGGCAGAGGTGGGGGGAAGCTTGTTACTCAGTGTCTTGAATCTGTTTATGGTCTTTTGCCAAATTGGGGGAATTTTCAGTCATTATTTCTTTGAGTACTTTTTCAATCCTGTTGTATTTTTTCTTCCAGGACTTCCATGTTAGGAATGTTAGATCTTGTATTATAATCTCACAGGTTCCTGAGTTGTTTTTCACTCTTTTTCAGTCTATTTTCTGTTGTTCAGATTGGGTAATTTCTGTTGTTCTGATTCCTTCCTCTGTCTCCTCCATTTATGCTGTTAGCACATCTATTAAGTTTATTTCCATTATCATACTTTTCAGTTAATTTTCCTTTGTTTATTTTTTATATCTTCTATTTTCTTCACTGGACTTCACATTTCTTTGCTAAGACTTTGTTTTTTCTTTTGTTTCAAGTATATTTGTTTCAGGCATTTTTGTGAAGTTTTATGTATTTATGAGATAATTCTAACATCTTTGTCATCTTGATACTCTTTTGAATATCTTTTTTCACTCAATTTGAGATTTTCCTGGTTCTTATTATGATGATGGATTCTAAATCTTATTTAAACCTTGTTTAAACTGGCATTCTCTGACTCCACTCACATGGGAAGGGGGTGTGCCATCTTGTTATGGCAGGTGGGAGACAGAAACACAGGTTTCTCACTCAGCCTCCATTGACGGGGGAAGGAGGAGTCCTCCTTACTATTATGTGTGAATGGGAGTTCTGGCACCCTACCAGCCTCCTTTTTATACCTTCCTGGTTGAGAGAGGTAGGAGTGCCTCTTTATTGCTCTTCATTTGCCCTCCATATTCACCATAGAAAAGAATGGCCTAGTTAGCCTGAGTGGTGGTGAAGATCTTGACTCTATATTACACTTACTCTGACACCAACCCAGTTAGTTGCTAAAAATTTCCCTCTTGGGGGATGCCTGGGTGGCCCAGTCTGTTAAGCGTCTGCCTTTGGCTCAGGTTATGATCCCAGGACGCTGGCTGGGATCGAGTCCTATGTCAGGCTCCTTGCTCAGCGAGGAGCTGGCTTCTCCCTCTGCCTGCCACTCCCCCTGCTTGTACTCACTCTCTCTCTCTGACAAATAAATAAAATCTTAAAAAAAAATTCCCCTCTTGGTACTGCTGTGGCTGTATCCTATAAATTAATATCCTATATTTCCACTTTTGTTCAGTTGAAAATATGCTCTAATTTCGTTTGAGACTTCCTGTTTGACTCATGGGTTGATTACATGTCAGTTGTTTATTTTAATTTTTAAGTATTTGTGGACTTGCTAAATATCTTTGTTATTTTTTTCTAATTTAATTCCGTTTTGGTAAGGAAAATGCTTGGCCTGATTTCAATTCTTTTACATTTATGAAGATTTAGTTTATGACCCAGAATATAGTTTATCTTGGTGAATATTCCACATGCAACTGAAAAGAATACATACTCTGCTGTCAATCTATACATGTCGTTTAGATGGCATTGAATTCTTCTGTACCTTGATTTCTTGTCTGTTGATCTATCAATAGGAAGAGATAAATGTTAAAATCTCCCACATTAATTGCGGATTTATCTACTTCTTTCAGTTTATCAGTTTTTGCTTTGTGCATTTATTTTATATAGACACATATATATCCCCCACCTTTACCAAGGTATAACTGACATATAACACTGGCTAAGTTAAGATGCACAATGTCGGGGCACCTGGGTGGCTCAGATGGTTAAGCATCTGCCTTCGGCTCAGGTCATGATCCCAGGGTGCTGGGATCAAGCCCCACGTCCGGCTCCTGGCTCGGCGGGGAGCCTGCTTCTCCCTTTCCCTCTCCCTCTGTCTCTCCCCCTGTTCATGCACACACTCTCTCTCTCTCTCTCTGTATCTGTGTCTCAAATGAATAAATAAATAAAAAATCTTTAAAAAAAAAGATGTACAATGTGATTATTTGATACATGTATATATTGTGAAATGATTACCACAAAGGGTTAATTGACACCTCCATCATTCCATATAATTACCTTTTTGTGGGTATGGTGAAAACAGTTAATCTACTTCCTTACCAACTATCAGTTACATAATTCAGTATTAACTAGAGTCACCATGTTGTACATTAGATTCCCAGAACTTATTCATCTTATATCTAGAAGTTTGTACCCTTTGACCAATATCTCCCCACTTTTCCCATCCCCAAACCTCTGGCAACCACCATTCTCACTCTGTTTCTGAGTTTGCCTTTTTTAGATTCCACATATAAGTGAGATTGTACAGTATTTGTCTTTCTCTGGCTTATTTCACTTGCATAATGCACTCAGGGTCCATCCATGTTGTCACAAATGGCAAGAATTCCTTTCTCGGGGCGCCTGGGTGGCTCAGTTGGTTAGGCGGCTGCCTTCGGCTCAGGTCATGATCCTGGAGTCCCTGGATCGAGTCCTGCATTGGGCTCCCTGCTCAGCAGGGAGTCTGCTTCTCCCTCTGACCCT